TATATTTTCAAGCTGAAAAAATTATGTTTTGAAGATGATTCAATTTTTAGCATGACTACGTGTTTGACGAAAACTTCATGTTTTCGAATAAACATTGTCCAATATTTTTACTATATTTTTTTTTGTAAATTGTACTTGTATACTGGTAGGATGACTATTGATATTGATTTTCATTTCGAAATTAATCAAAATAAACATTTAAGTTAGAACATGTTAAATTTTCCTAATACCTTAATATAAACTTGTAATAATGAATTAAGGATGACGTTAAAATGTGAAATAAATTACAGTATAAATAATCTGAACTTTAGTAGTAAAAATTATTGATTTTTAATTACCTGCTATTCTCCTACACCAAAGATACAAAGCGGTTTCAGCTTTATTTATTTCGATAATTATTATTTTATTTTAGATTTTATTAAAAATTGTAAATCTGTAGCACATGTGGATTCTGGTTTAAGTGCGAGATTTCGTGGTATGTGTTTATTTTTAATTTTTCTCAAAGGAAAATATCATCAACTGTAGTAGGAATGTCACTTCATCCATTAAACTAAAAGATATGGAAAAAGAGACATAACTAGAGAGAGACCTACAACGTTAAATTTTGTACATACACAGTTGCTGTTTTTGTTGTTAATCATTTGTAATTTGATGAATAATAAACCAACAGGATGAATAAATATTAATTTATTTTTCTGTTAAAGAATAAAGACTATCTCAAACAACATATTGATTGTTTGTCAATGTCATTTCATAACTGGTGGATCCAGGGAGGAAGTATTCGGGTTGAAGCCTCCTTCTCCCTCACTTCCATATCTTCTTTTTTTTTATAGATCTATATTTGTTTCTGATCAAAGATCTGAGCTAAACAATAAATATGAATATGAGTTATTTTAAATGCATTTCGACCCTTAAATATAGGAATGTGTCAACAAAAACATAAGGTATAAAAGTACTTATACCTAAAAAAGTATTATTATTGGTGTAAGCATGTGAAAATTTGGTGGAGGTTTAGATATAATTTTTATTACTTTTCTTATTTGTTTTAGGCCTGAACTAAAAGGACAACTCAAATATAATTTTGTATAGTTTCTATATTTTCCTTGCAGATTAATGAGAGTTATTAAAAAAAAAAATATATTTCTTCTCAAAATTATATCCACCACTGCTTCAGGTTTTTTGTAATCGAGATCCAAAGAGCTTAATGCTTTATAGGATTATATTTTTTTTATTATAAGTAATTTGACATGTTCTATATGAAGAGAAACTACCCATTGGTAGCACTCCAATTATATTTTTATATTAGAAGATCCTGAGGCCATCTTCTTTTCAGACGCCTCGGATGGTTATCAGGAATGGAAGAGGAAGCAAGAGGGTTGGGATGATTCTGAAGTTTATTATGGAAGGATAGGTATCTGGATTGAGCTAAATCCGAAACATATGGTACATTAAGGTTGTTATGGATGATTTTATTTGTGACAAAGTAGGGAGCATTGAGGATTTTACGCAGGATTTTGGATTGTAGGGATTGGATATGAGAGGAATTTGATGGTTTAGTAGATCTCCAAAGCTCAATCTCGTAAGTCCAAACAGGCCTTATTTTAGTAATATATATGAGTTTTTTATAAATAGTGCGAGGTTTAGAGTGTTTGTCTAGTAAGTGCTGCAGTAGTCAAAAACGTCGGGCGGTTTCTAGTAGTTTCAGTATGGTATGGGGGTTCCAAGTGAGTCGTTTGTCCAGGTATCGGATTTGTTCGAAAGAGATAAGTGGGCTATTGTTAAATGATACTGTAGGACAGGAAGTCATAGGTTTATGACGAAGAGTAAAGGTAATTTGATAGGATTTATTGGAATTTATTTTAATCCTCCTCTTTTGAGACCATTTTTCAAAGTTTGTGATGTGTGATTGAAGAGTTTGGGATGCGATAGATGGATCGTTATTAACTGATAGGATACACGTGTCATCGGCATAGGTGGTGACGACAGTGTTGGATATAAAATTATTTTAAAATCTACAACGGCATGGCGGAACAGGTTTATAATTAAAGTAAATAATCTACATTCAACATTTAATATTAATCCGAATTACCGCATTTCTGTTAAAGAAAAAAAAAATGCTCTTAGTCACAGAGGAGAAGCTACCCTTGGACAGAAAGAATATTTTACTAAGGCCTGAGGCTAGCTGTTCATCAATTTCCAGGAGGGTAGATCTTCATAAAGTCCGGTTAATACAAACACGTTCCCCTCCCCTTCTTTCTACATATTTTATCCAACCTCCGGATCATCTTCCACCCTGCTAATCCCTGTTTACACATATGCTTTTCCCATTAATACACAATGGCTGTACTAATCTCGCTCAGTCCTCACCGGCCGTCATTGTCTGCCGGAGGGATGACTCAGATAAATTTAAATGTGAATAATTAGAAATAACAATGGCGCTCACGGGGCCAGAGATTGATGATGGGCGAGGACAATCTGTCTAAATAAGCGGCGGCCGTTCTCCGAGCCCGGGCACAAAATAAACCAAATGAGAGCCCCACCTCGCCACAACCAGGCCCATTCACCTTTTATATATCATACACCGTCTTCTATTATTGTCCTATCTTCATTATTCTTAATTGGGTCGGCTTCTCTTGTCATAATAAATTCTATTGTTCCCTCAAAACAGCATGTCAACCGGTTGCCTACCTCTTAACCATTCAAAGGAGCCATTAAAAGGGAGGAATAAATTGATGTCTGTTGTGAATATTTATTAAGGTGTATTTTCCATTTCCATTTCAACAAAATAGTCCTAAATAATTGATAGACAATTGATATAAATAACTAATCTCAGAAAAGTTTAATATACTTTACAAATATATGGAAAGACATCGAATTAACCATATACTAAATTCTGTACAATATTCGAATTTTCTGTCTACTCCCTAACAACAAGATTATTCTGACTTTCATATATTTTTTCACAGATTTGTCTCCAAATCAACCCGTCGTTACCTACAAGTATTTTATTTCCGTTCTCGGAATTGGGGCGTTTTCAATCTGAGGATCATGAACTTTGACTATTTCTCGGGAGAGCTAGTACTAAATGAGGAAATGGTGACCAAATTAAACAACAACTTAGACATATTGGTTAGCTCTTGCCTTATTAAAACGCAGCAGAAGATCAACGTTGTAAACCCGTACGTGTTCCTGGACACATATTATATGGGAACATGAGTTCTAAAAACTCATAAATACCCATTTGCTTTCCACGTAAATCGTAAGATAACATCATCACAAAATAAAAAAAAAAAGATGGCCTATAAAAATATTGGACCGTTAACTGTAACATCCACCACCAAAATGTCAAAATAACGAGGTTATGTAGGACAAATGATACAATATTTTTTTAGGTCACCTTTTTCTTTGAAATTTGGGATGATATTATTTTATGAATTAAGTGAAAAACAAATGTATATTCATGAATTGTTTGTACCTAATTAAATAGACAAAAATATCCAATCTCAAAAATTGTTTATAAAAACGAAGACTTTGCTATAGATAATATAATTTGAGATTGAAACTTTAATGGATTTTTTTTTTAAATTACCATTTGAACAGTTTTAGAAAAAACATGTTGGGAAACATTTTAGAAAAAATAAAAATCATTACATAAAAGCTCTAAGAAACTTTTCTGCAATACATTTCTAAGTGTATGGTAAAAGTGTAACATGCATTTATTCAAGTTCTTAAAAAAAGTTCAGTTAAATTAAAAATGAATAATGATTAGGCTTATATTAGAGTTATGATTTGTCTTAAACGGATCACACATAATTCTAATGGGTCTTTCATTGTATTAGCAATAAATAAAAGTGTTTTTTTTTTTAGATCGACTTTTTTTTTTTTTAGATCGAACGGCGAAATAGTCATAACTTTTAAATAAAAGTATTCGAAAAATTAAACTTCTGCAAAATGCCGGTGGTTTGCAAAAATAATTTCGTTTTTCCGTTTCAAGCCCTTAAAATGACTCATTTATGCATATTATGGGTTCTTTAGAACTTCGGTTATCATTAATATCCTGCATACATTAAATTATTCGAAAATGGTAAGCTCATCAGTGATCGATAGCTAAAGAAACTTTATATTTTTTGGCTTATGTCACCATAATTATTATAGATATGAATTCATCTCTTTGACTTTTAGAATCTCTAGGATCTCCATTTTCTATTTAACACTTTAAAATTGAAAAAAATACTCAGTCATGCAGGTATTATCTCCATTTAAAAATAACACCTTTTTGCACTACTGATGGTTAACCCATAATTTAATTGTTCTAGTAATGGACAGGTGGTCGGTACCAGTAATGGACAGACCTCAGAAAAAAATCCATAATCTTTTTTTAACTATAAAGTTATGATAACATAAATGTTCAACTTACTTAGCAAAACTGTTTGTAGGAAGGTACGAAACACACGATCTAAAGAGTATTATAAAAACAACAACGATATGCATTTCAAAATTTTATCATAACTGTTGCGTTAACCCTACTTCATTTTACGTAAATTGTTTAAATGTAATGTAATTTAAAAATGTACTAAAAGATGGATTTTAAATATATTTTTATAAAACAATGCTAAGAACATAGGGTATTTTAAAGTCTTTGATAACCATTATCTAATACAGATGAGTATATCATCAAACTTTGGTAATGGAACTCATTTTCGAAAACAATGGAATATGATTTAAAATTTAAGACTCGTCAACTGAATGAAATAGAAAACGTATTTTTTCTGGCAACATGGTTACAGAATAATCGAAATTTGAATGCTTAAAATTTAAAAGCATATTGTTTGAGACATCTAAAATGTTCAAATAAATGTAATAATAAATAACATAACATATAAATGGAAAATTGACTTGAATAATCAGCCTAAAACAATTAATTTGGATACCTTTATACTCACCAAATTTAAAAACTAAGATACCTGAAGATATATAAGTAAGTATCGTGTTCAATATATATGGTCGATAAAGGTATTACTATTGAACCTTCAGCAAATTTTAATTATGGAAATATAAAAATTAGTTTGGAAAACCCAGAGAAATTTGGAAAGTATTAAACTTAAGGAACATTCTCATTGTCCTGAAGTGTGTTTCATCATTTTAAAGTTGTTTTGTTTTTTTGCACAGGCGGTTGTGAGAATCCGTTAGGAATGGAAACAGGAGCGATTCCCGACGAAGCTGTCACAGCCAGCTCATCCTACGTTCCTAATGTTGGCGCCAAAAATGGAAGGTACGTACATTCAACAATACTAATATGATACTGGTTCGAAAATTCATAAGCGAATAAAATAAACAAATGTATATAAATAGATTTTACTCCATTTAACAGATGCTAAGGAGATATAGAGTAGCTAAAAAAAAACTATTAAAGTATGCATAAAGTAACATTTCCGAAATTTCTATTGGTGCATATCTCGAAGAAGAAAGTGGAAGATCATAATGATGCCATTAAAGAATAAAAAATGAATCTTTAGTCCTTGCTAACAATGATTTGAAATATTCAATGCAATTCTCTTCTACAAAATAATGCTCATTATGTTTTATAAACATAAATCTAGACATATTTAGCGAAGTAAATTTAATATTTATATTTAAATAAATGCTGGGATAACATTGAGTAAGGCATTGCGGTCCTATACTAAAGATCTCAACCTGGAATCCGCCTATGGCAAGCAATTATTTCTTCTGATTCATCAAGCTTATATCGACCCTGCTATCAAAAGATCCAAACAGTGGACCCAACCTCTACAAAGTGAGTACTCTTAAATAAATAAATAAGGGGGAAACCTGGCGGTTGAGCGTGATCTAGACATCTTGATCTAGAAATCACCTACTTGCAATATATATATATATATATATATATATATATATATATATATATATATATATATATATATATATATATATATATATATACTTTTATAAATTGGGAATTAGTTTATAATTCATTTAACTTAATTGTTATTCAATGAACTACAAAATGTTCAGTGATCCTTTGTTTATTCAACGTTTCAATCCTTTTTTTTTTTTAAATCTAATAATGGGATCCTCGTAAATGTTTAAAATAGAGCCTCAATACCTCAGGCCAGGAACACACCGACAGCCTCAGCACCGTCCAGTGGCACAGATATTAAACTACTGAGTAGTTAATATCTGTGCTATTGGATTGTTATGGATTCTATTGTTAGCTTTAAAAAAAGGGGATTTAAACGTCGAATAAACAACAGGATCAATGAATATTTTGTAGTTTGTTGAATAATAATTAAGTGACCTAATTCCCAATTTAAATAATTATCTTGAAATGTAATTCCCGAAGGTCGATTGAAGAAATTTTGTAAATGTATAATATATATTTATATACATATATAATATATGCATATATTATAATGTGTATATATATATATATATATATATATATATATATATATATATATATATATATACACACATATATACATATATTTAATCTTTATGTATATTATACAGCAACTATAAAAAATTAATAATGGTATAATTAATGAAAATGAAAAGTAAAATATTATTGCTGATAATTTGATTATTGTATTATCATCGTAAGTTTTATGAAAACATTTAATGTTTATATTTCAGAATACTTATTTTTATTCAATCTCTTAGTTTAGTTTATTTATTTACTTCTTTTTTATTATTTATATTTATATCCCTTTTGTATGTATACATTGCAGGAATGAACACTTGCAGCCCTAATATTTGTTGCCCTTCAATATGGCAAAATTTTATAGATTACAATAAAAAAAAAATTAATGCGCTTTCTCACTATAAACGGAATATATTTATGTAATTTATTGGTGAACTGCGGATAGAGAGAGCTACATGGAGACTTCGACTAGGGATTATCCGGAATTTACACTCGACATCAACCGTGCATTAGCATGCCACCATTGGTTGACTCCATTCGTGTACAGCCAATCACATGGTTGATTTCTAAAATGTTTTCTCTTGGTTGCATTAGCTTTATTAGTTAACCTACACATAATTCATGAATGTCCAATTTAAAGGAGTGTTATTTTACAGATGGTTTTAAAGTATTCAATTAAAAAAAAACAATCAACTCACGATATAATTTAAAATAACATGTTTTGTTTTGCCGAAAAATATTAGACTGTTAAAGATCAACAATGTAATATTAATTTTGTTTGCTTCCACTTTCCTATTTTATATGTATTTATTTATTTCCATTTCCACCCTCCCATGCTTTGTGACAATACGGGTGTATGCAGTAGTGTGATGTTAATTAATGAAATTTATTTAGCTTTATGTTGAATAATTAACTATCCCTCATTGTTAGCAGTTACGAAAGCCTAAATATAACTTTTGAAAGAATTTGATGATTGAATAAATGAGAAAAAATATAAAAATCTTTATTTAGGTCGAAAACTAATCTTTTGAAATAATAATCAGAAAGTATACGTAAAATATACGTTGGAGAGCGGAGAATTTTAGAAAAAAAACTATATCTAAAAATATAGAAAGTCGGTGAAGGTAATGAAGTGTTACGAAAAAAATATAAATAATAATTTCTAAAAACTAATGGTGTTTAATAGAAATCACATGTCCAAGAGAATTAAACGACAGTCCCAAATTAAACATAATTTTTTAAAAATTATTTTAATTTTGAAAAAAGTACATAATATGTATCTTATAAAGTGAATGGGATTGCTTAAAAAACTATTTTATTGTACTGGTGTGTGAAAGAAAAAGTGAAAAACAAAAATATTTTGTGGATATGAAGAACATCTATTTATAAAATTTAATTGGTTTGTAGTTTAATAACTCCAGATCCGATATTATATTTAAATAATTAGGTATATAACATCCGTTTATTCTGAAAATCATCTTAGAAAATTATATTACTGAAGAATTTTCAATATGTGAAATCCCAACATTATCCACTTTCAATTAGGGTGACAGCTTTTGAACTAATGAAGGCAATGAAAGTCTTGTAACTCCATTTTAGTGAACTATACAATAGAAAATAAAATTTTGATAACTAATAGTCGTACAATCCATAATCATTTATAGATTCAATATACAGACGAACTTTTAAATCTCTCTAGACATACATAGCTAACAGATTGGAGTTATGTGGTTTATAAAAACAGATAGAGTTACGAGGTTTTTACTACCTCCTGTCGATATACTATATAGGATTTTGTTATTTTAATGGAATTCATTTTTATTCTTTTATCCTTTAAAATAAAATTTGTTTATCATATTTATTTTTTATTTATTCCTTACTTCCTTGCCTTTCGGCTAAACGGGATTTTACAGGCATATCACAAACGTACATTTCTGCTATTAAACGACAAATATTTTAAAACTTTTGTTTTATTTTTTTCAAAAAACTCTTCTGTTTTCTTCATTTTATTTTTACCAAATCAGTCTGGCGGTCTTCCATGGGCAGATTCTCTTCTTCCCAGATTGAAGTGTGTCCGGCCCAGAGCAGCTTTCCACCCTTATGATATAATATTAACTTTTTTGCGTTTACTTTCTTATTTTATTTGTATTTATTTATTTCCAACCTCCCTTGGCATGTGGCAATACGAGTGTATCCAGTAGTCTGATGTTAAGCATTGTTCCATAATATTACAATACTGCAATGAAAACGCATTAAAAAATTCACAACTATGCACAGTAGCTCTTTTTTCTTTTCCATTCTTCAATTAATTAAGTCTGGCATCCAGGATTCGGAGGTCTTCCTATAGCTGGTCTCATATTTAATATTTACAAGAATTATTAGTCTTTACTTTCATTTATTATATATATATATATATATATATATATATATATATATATATATATGTTAACAGTATTAATATAGTAATTATATTTCTTACTGTCATTTTGTTTAAATGTTTTGTCAGAATTAAATACTTTTTTTTGTATTTTTTATTTATATTAACTTTTTAATGTGATTATTTAATTTAATTTTATTATAATATTTTATATTCTGGTTATATTTTAACGAATTCATCTGTATTTTTGTCAAGCTAAATTCTAATTGTACATAATTTTTTTTCAAAATTTTAGTGATTTAATTTTTTTTGTGGAGTAATTTATCACCTTTTTATTACATATTATTTTATTGTGTTTATTTACTTCAAATCTCTTAAAATTTTTAAATTGGCTTATTTGAATTTAAACAATTGTTTATTTGTGCACAAAACTATAAATCTTTTAATTACTTTTTCACATATAGCTTTTAGTTTCTATGTTTGTTACTGTCTTATGATTTAAAAAAAAAATAATTTTAACACACTAAAAAAAAGACAACAACTTAACTAATATGTAAATTAAATATTTATACTTATAATACGTTTTGGAGTTCTAGCAATGGCCAGATTCTCCACTCAAGTCATGAGTGTCTGTGGCTGTAGCGCTCTTACTCATCCTCCGCTGGTTTAAAATACCAGTGAAGTGGCTGAGGGAGAAGCGTAGGGATCTCCTAAGCCTCCCTTTTCCCTCCACATGTGGAGGGGACAGGATTGGTTCGGAGATCACCTGGCAAATTGTAAATAATGTATGTTTTATATAAGGTGTTGTTTTACTTTTATTTCTATTTTTATTTACTTATGTGTATATATATTTTTTTTTCTTTACTCTTTTGTTCTTTCTTCTTATTCTTTTGTTATTACTTTATTTATTTATATTTTTGTATATACGGTATGAATGCAATCTCTGAACTCTATTATAAGTGTCCTTAACTGTGACAAATTGTAATATTTCTGAATAAAGTGTTTTTTTAATAATAATAATAATACGTGAATTCGTACAGTGTAATTAAAACTTAATTCCTCCTGCATAAGATCATTATACAATAAAAAATAAAAACTTGACTTTAAGTTTATTTGTTGAAGAATGAATGGAAGAGCCAATGAACGAAAATTTTCAATACCTAGGCATAGGAGGAACAAAGTTGGTTGCAAATTCTAAGGGATTGGTCAACATGAATGGGGAAAGACCAAAGCGGAAGATTGAATCCACCATCAAAGAGAAGTTAGACGAAGAGGGGTAAGTGGTAGATCGGAAGTCGATGTCCACACTGCCTACCTGATCGATGCTTTAATCAGGGTCTCCTAGTGTCCTTTGTTTCCGGTCATTGTACATCTTGTTCTAGTTAGACCAGGCTTTGGTCCTTTTTCCCTAATCAGCCAATGACTGTACAGAGGTTTACCGTAGCCTAATAGATCAAAGCTATCCTAGCCAACTGATTGGCTGATTTTCCTCCACACGGGCTCTTAACTAAATCGGTCAAGCCTATCGGGGCTCGTAACTCATCCCTTCAAGTTGTGACGTAGAACACTACTCTTTGTCTATGAACCCTGCCGATTCTAGCTTTGTGAAGGTAGCAGTTAATTAATTATTTATTTGTGTTTTTTGTTACATCTGCCCTATAGGGCCATTGGAAGCACCTTTTACTTACACTCTGTTAATGATTTTAGTCATTTTGAAAAAAAAAAAATTTACAGCTTTTTAGTTTTCCATCAGGTTTTATTTAACCTTTATGCCATATCAAATTTTATCCTAATCCATAAACAATCTTATATTTTTTAATATAAGGTGGAATTAAATGATGCGTTGGACTGTTCTTTGAACCTTACATAACAAATAACAACTCTAGCATAATTTCCAACAAATATTTCTGACAGCTCTCGCCAGTGTATTGTTTGTTTGTTTCGATGTCTAGGCGCAAAACATCCAGGTCATAAGCGCCCGATCAACTAAATAACATCACTTAATACTATTTGGATGGTTGGTACAAAAAATAAAAATAAAAAAAAAGGACAAAAAAAATAAAGAAATGGATTGATAGAATAAAATAAATAAATAAGGATAATAATAGACATTTATAGGTAATAAGATGTATAAAAAATGTATAAATAAATAAACTTTAAAAAATAGCAGTAGAATCAATAAAAAAAAAAAAAAAAAAAAAAAAAAAAAAAAAAAGAGAGAAAATATAATAAAAATAAATAGATAAAAAGGAAATTAATAAATTAAAAAAAAAATCTGTCAAATGTGTTTTTTAAGTCTTTCACTATCCATAAACTTGATGACTTTGGTAACCATTTCTTCCTGATTTCCCAGGGACGCTGATATATTCCGGGGTATTCCAAAATCTTCTAATCTTGCGGTGTAAAAAGGGCATTCCTCCAAAATATGTCTTATAGTTAGTGATTGGTTACACTTTTGACATCGAGGGATAGAATCTTTTGTTATGAGGTGGAGGTGAGTCAGTCTAGTATGTCCGATCCTCAGCCGCGTGAGGACGACCTCTTCTCTACGACTGCTGCGTCTGGAGCTGGTCCACGGTTGTACCTCTTTCTTTATTGTTTTTAATTTGCTAGGTGCGCTGTTGTCCCACCGTCTTTGCCATTCTTGGAATATGGTTTCTCTCAGAGGTCGTGCAAGTTCAGATGGTGTCAACAAAACTTTACCGCGGCCTGGAAGAGTAAGAGCCTCCTTTGCTGCTCAGCCATTTCATTTCCTTTAATTCCTATATGGCCAGGCGACCAGATAAAATGTGCCGTTGTTCCAACTCCATGAAGCATTTTTATAAGACTTAGAATGCAGTGTATCCCTGGATGGTCTGGATACATGTTATTCATAGCTTTCAGAGTACTTAGGGAATCCGATACAACAACCACATTTGCAACTGGCTTCTTTATGACGTATCGGAGACTCATTGCTACGGCGTTAATCTCTGCTGTGTAAACACTACAAAGATGGTGTAATTTATATTTGTAGGTAGTATCAGGAGTGACAAAGGCTGAAGCAGTAGATGTATCTGATTTGGATCCGTCGGTGAATATTAGAAGATGTTCAGGTAACGTGATGATTATTTTGTGGAATTTTTCTTTGTAATCTGCAGGTAATGTAGTATCTTTGGTGAATTGGGTGAGTTGGAGATTTAATTTAGG